AAGCACAGGTACCACCAGCACCAGAAGCACAGTCAGCACCAGCAACAGAAGCACAGGCACCGCCAGCACCAGAAGCACAGGCACCACCAGCAACAGAAGCACAGGCACCACCAGCACCAGAAGCACAGGCACCACCAGCACCAGAAGCACAGGTACCACCAGCACCAGAAGCACAGGCACCACCAGCACCAGAAGCACAGGCACCACCAGCACCAGAAGCACAGGCACCACCAGCACCAGAAGCACAGGCACCACCAGCACCAGAAGCACAGGCACCACCAGCACCAGAAGCACAGGCACCACCAGCACCAGAAGCACAGGCACCACCAGCACCAGAAGCACAGGCATCACCAGCACCAGAAGCACAGGCACCACCAGAACCAGAAGCACAGGCACCACCAGCACCAGAAGCACAGGCACCACCAGCACCAGAAGCACAGGTACCACCAGCACCAAAAGCAGCAGAGCCACCAGCACCAGAAGGACAGGTACCACCAGCACCAGAAGCAGCAGAGCCACCAGCACCAGAAGCACAGGCATCACCAGCACCAGAAGCACAGGCACCACCAGAACCAGAAGCACAGGTACCACCAGCACCAGAAGCACAGGTACCACCAGCACCAGAAGCACAGGTACCACCAGCACCAGAAGCACAGGCACCACCAGCACCAAAAGCACAGGCACCACCACCACCAGAAGCACAGGCACCACCAGCACCAGAAGCACAGGTACGAAGAGCACCAGAAGCACAGACACCACCAGCACCAGAAGCACAGGTACCACCACCACCAGAAGCACAGGCACCACCAGCACCAGAAGCACAGGCACCACCAGCACCAGAAGCACAGGCACCACCAGCACCAGAAGCACAGGTACCACCAGCACCAGAAGCACAGGCACCACCAGCACCAGAAGCACAGGCACCACCAGCACCAGAAGCACAGGCACCACCAGCACCAGAAGCACAGGCACCACCAGCACCAGAAGCACAGGCACCACCAGCACCAGAAGCACAGGCACCACCAGCACCAGAAGCACAGGCACCACCAGCACCAGAAGCACAGGCACCACCAGCACCAGAAGCACAGGCACCACCAGCAGCAGCACCACCAGCACCAGCACCAGCACCAGCACCAGCACCCCGAGCACCACCAGTACCACCAGCAGCAGCACCACCAGCACCACCACCAGCAGCACCACCAGCACCAGCACCACCAGTACCAGCACCACCAGACCCAGCACCACCATCACCAGCACCACCAGCACGAGCACCAGCACCACCAGCACTACAGCAGCAGCACCACCAGCACCAGCACCAAAAGTACCAGCACCACCAGAACCAGTAGCACCATCACCAGAGGCACCATCACAAGCAGCACCACCGCACCACAGCAGCAGCACCACCAGCACCACCACCAGCAGCAACACCAGTACCACCACCACCAGCACCACCAGCAGCACCAGCACCAGTACCACCACCAGCAGCAGCACCAGCACCAGCACCACCAGCACCACCCGCACCAGCACCACCAGCAGCAGCACCACCAGCACCACCAGCAGCAGCAGCACCAGCACCACCAGAACCATCACCAGCACCACCAGCACCAGCACCACCAGCACCACAGCAGCACCACCAGCACCAGCACCACCAGTACCAGCACAACCAGAACCAGTACCACCATCACCAGCAGCACCACCACCAGCACCACAGCAGCAGCACCACCAATACCACCATCACCAGCACCACCAGCAGCACCAGCACCAGTACCACCACCAGCAGCATCACCAGTAGCAGCACCACCAGCAACACCAGAACCATCACCAGCACGACCAGCACCACCAGCACCACCAGCAGCACCACCAGCAGCAGCACCCCCAGCAGCAGCACCAGCCGGAAGCAGCACCCCCAGCAGCAGCACCAGCCGGAAGCAGCACCACCAGGAGCAGCACCACCAGCAGCAGACCCACCAGAACCATCACCAGCACCACCAGCACCAGCACCACCATCACCAGCAGCAGGACCAGCAGCAGCAGCACCACCAGCACCACCAGCATCACCAGCAGCACCAGCACCAATTGCAGCACCACCAGCAGCACCAGCAGCAGCAGCACCACCAGCAGCAGCACCACCAGCAGCAGCACCACCATCAGGAGCACCAGCAACACCAGCAACACCAGCAGCACAACCAGCAGCAGCACCACCAGCAGCACCACCACCACCAGCAGCAGCACCACCAGCACCAGTACCACCAGCAGCAGCACCACCAGTACCACCAGCACCAGCAAGACCACCTGTACCAGCACCAGTAGCACCACAAGCACCTCCAACAGCACCAGTACCACAAGCACCAGCAGAACCACCTTCACCAGCACCACCAGCACAAGGATCAGCAGCAGAGCCACCAGCAGGAGCACCAGTACTTCCAACAGCATCAACATCAGCATTACGAGCTGCAGTAGACCCAGCATCTCCACTAGGCGAAGCAGCACCACCACAAACAACAGCACCTGCAGCAACATCAGTAGCACCAGCTCCAGCACCAGCAACACCAGCAGCAGCACCACTAGGAGGAGCACCAGCACCACCACTCCAACCAGCAACGTCAGAACCACACACAACAGCAGAACCAGCACCACCAGCACCACCACTACCAGCACCAACAACAACAACACGGGCACCAGCAACAGCACCAATACCACCAGCACCAGCAGCACCACAAGCACCAGTACCAGTAGCACCACTACCAACACCAGCACCACCAGCACCCATATCACAAGCACCAGCAGCAGCATCTGCACAGGCACAACCAGCACCAGAAGCACAGATACCACCAGCACCAGAAGCACAGGCACCACCAGCACCAGAAGCACAGGCATCACCAGCACCAAAAGCACAGGCAAGACCACCACCAGAAGCACAGGTACCACCAGCACCAGAAGCACAGGCAGTACCAGCACCAGAAGCACAGGTACCACCAGCACCAGAAGCACAGGTACCACCAGCACCAGAAGCACAGGTACCACCAGCACCAGAAGCACAGGCACCACCAGCACCAGAAGCACAGGTACCACCAGGACCAGAAGCACAGGCACCACCAGCACCAAAAGCACAGGCACCACCACCACCAGAAGCACAGGCACCACCAGCACCAGAAGCACAGGTAACACCAGCACCAGAAGCGCAGATACCACCAGCACCAGAAGCACAGGTACCACCAGCACCAGAAGCACAGTCACCACCAGCACCAGAAGCACAGGCACCGCCAGCACCAGAAGCACAGGCACCACCAGCAACAGAAGCACAGGCACCACCAGCACCAGAAGCACAGGCACCACCAGCACCAGAAGCACAGGTACCACCAGCACCAGAAGCACAGGCACCACCAGCACCAGAAGCTCAGGCACCACCAGCACCAGAAGCACAGGCACCACCAGCACCAGAAGCACAGGCACCACCAGCACCAGAAGCACAGGCACCACCAGCACCAGAAGCACAGGCACCACCAGCACCAGAAGCACAGGCACCACCAGCACCAGAAGCACAGGCATCACCAGCACCAGAAGCACAGGCACCACCAGAACCAGAAGCACAGGCACCACCAGCACCAGAAGCACAGGCACCACCAGCACCAGAAGCACAGGTACCACCAGCACCAAAAGCAGCAGAGCCACCAGCACCAGAAGGACAGGTACCACCAGCACCAGAAGCAGCAGAGCCACCAGCACCAGAAGCACAGGCATCACCAGCACCAGAAGCACAGGCACCACCAGAACCAGAAGCACAGGTACCACCAGCACCAGAAGCACAGGTACCACCAGCACCAGAAGCACAGGTACCACCAGCACCAGAAGCACAGGCACCACCAGCACCAAAAGCACAGGCACCACCACCACCAGAAGCACAGGCACCACCAGCACCAGAAGCACAGGTACGAAGAGCACCAGAAGCACAGGCACCACCAGCACCAGAAGCACAGGTACCACCACCACCAGAAGCACAGGCACCACCAGCACCAGAAGCACAGGCACCACCAGCACCAGAAGCACAGGCACCACCAGCACCAGAAGCACAGGTACCACCAGCACCAGAAGCACAGGCACCACCAGCACCAGAAGCACAGGCACCACCAGCACCAGAAGCACAGGCACCACCAGCACCAGAAGCACAGGCACCACCAGCACCAGAAGCACAGGCACCACCAGCACCAGAAGCACAGGCACCACCAGCACCAGAAGCACAGGCACCACCAGCAGCAGCACCACCAGCACCAGCACCAGCACCAGCACCCCGAGCACCACCAGCACCAGCACCACCAGTACCAGCACCACCAGACCCAGCACCACCATCACCAGCACCACCAGCACGAGCACCAGCACCACCAGCACTACAGCAGCAGCACCACCAGCACCAGCACCAAAAGTACCAGCACCACCAGAACCAGTAGCACTATCACCAGAGGCACCATCACAAGCAGCACCACCGCACCACAGCAGCAGCACCACCAGCACCACCACCAGCAGCACCACCAGTACCACCACCACCAGCACCACCAGCAGCACCAGCACCAGTACCACCACCAGCAGCAGCACCAGCACCAGCACCACCAGCACCACCCGCACCAGCACCACCAGCAGCAGCACCACCAGCACCACCAGCACCAGCAGCACCAGCACCACCAGAACCATCACCAGCACCACCAGCACCAGCAGCACCAGCACCACAGCAGCACCACCAGCACCAGCACCACCAGTACCAGCACAACCAGAACCAGTACCACCATCACCAGCAGCACCACCACCAGCACCACAGCAGCAGCACCACCAATACCACCAGCACCAGCACCACCAGCAGCACCAGCACCAGTACCACCACCAGCAGCATCACCAGCAGCAGCACCACCAGCAACACCAGAACCATCACCAGCACGACCAGCACCACCAGCACCACCAGCAGCACCACCAGCAGCAGCACCCCCAGCAGCAGCACCAGCCGGAAGCAGCACCCCCAGCAGCAGCACCAGCCGGAAGCAGCACCACCAGGAGCAGCACCACCAGCAGCAGACCCACCAGAACCATCACCAGCACCACCAGCACCAGCACCACCATCACCAGCAGCAGGACCAGCAGCAGCAGCACCACCAGCACCACCAGCATCACCAGCAGCACCAGCACCACCAGCAGCACCACCAGCAGCACCAGCAGCAGCAGCACCACCAGCAACAGCACCACCAGCAGCAGCACCACCATCACCAGCACCAGCAACACCAGCAACACCAGCAGCACAACCAGCAGCAGCACCACCAGCAGCACCAGCACCACCATCACCAGCACCACCAGCACCACCAGCAACACCACCACCAGCAGCAGCACCACCAGCACCAGTACCACCAGCAGCAGCACCACCAGTACTACCAGCACCAGCACCACCACCTGTAACAGCACCAGTCGCACCACAAGCACCTCCAACAGCACCAGTACCACAAGCACCAGCAGAACTACCTTCACCAGCACCACCAGCACAACGATCAGCAGCAGAGCCACCAGCAGGAGCACCAGTACTTCCAACAGCATCAACATCAGCATTACGAGCTGCAGTAGACCCAGCATCTCCACTAGGCGAAGCAGCACCACCACAAACAACAGCACCTGCAGCAACATCAGTAGCACCAGCTCCAGCACCAGCAACACCAGCAGCAGCACCACTAGGAGGAGCACCAGCACCACCACTCCCACCAGCACCGTCAGAACCACACACAACAGCAGAACCAGCACCACCAGCACCACCACTACCAGCACCACCAACAACAACACGGGCACCAGCAACAGCACCACTACCACCAGCACCAGCAGCACCACAAGCACCAGTACCAGTAGCACCACTACCAACACCAGCACCACCAGCACCCATATCACAAGCACCAGCAGCAGCATCTGCACAGGCACCACCAGCACCAGAAGCACAGATACCACCAGCACCAGAAGCACAGGTACCACCAGCACCAGAAGCACAGGTACCACTAGCACCAGAAGCAGCACCAGCAGCAGCACAACCAATACCACCAGCAGCACCACCAGAAGCACCAGCACCACCAGCAGCAGCACCACCAGCACCAGCACCAGCACCCCGAGCACCACCAGTACCACCAGCAGCAGCACCACCAGTACCACCAGCAGCACCATCACCAGCACCACCAGCAGCAGCACCACCAGCACCAGCACCACCAGTACCAGCACCACCAGACCCGGCACCACCATCACCAGCACCACCAGCACTACAGCAGCAGCACCACCAGCACCAGTACCAGCAGCACCACCAGTACCACCAGCACCAGCACCACCAGCAGCACCCGTACCAGTACCACCACCAGCAGCAGCACCAGCACCAGCACCACCAGCACCACCCGCACCAGCACCACCAGCAGCAGCACCACCAGCAGCAGCACCACCAGCACCACCAGCAGCAGCAGCACCAGCACCATCAGAACCATCACCAGCACCACCAGCACCAGCACCAGCACCACCAGCACCACAGCAGCACCACCAGCACCAGCACCACCAGTACCAACCCAACCAGAACCAGTACCACCATCACCAGCAGCACCACCACCAGCACCACAGCAGCAGCACCACCAGCAGCACCACCAGCAGCACCACCAGCACCACCAGCACCAGCACCACCAGCAGCACCAGCACCAGTACCACCAGCAGCAGCACCACCAGTACCACCAGCACTACAGCAGCAGCACCACCAGCAGCACCACCAGCACCACCAGCACCAGCACCACCAGCAGCACCAGCACCAGTACCACCAGCAGCAGCACCACCAGTACCACCAGCACCAGCACCACCAGCAGCACCAGCACCAGTACCACCACCAGCAGCATCACCAGCAGCAGCACCACCAGCACCACCAGCACCAGTACCACCAGCAGCAGCACCACCAATACCACCAGCACCAGCACCACCAGCAGCACCAGCACCAGTACCACCACCAGCAGCATCACCAGCAGCAGCACCACCAGCAACACCAGAACCATCACCAGCACGACCAGCACCACCAGCACCACCAGCAGCACCACCAGCAGCAGCACCCCCAGCAGCAGCACCACCAGCAGCAGCACCACCAGCAACAGACCCACCAGAACCATCACCAGCACCACCAGCACCAGCACCACCATCACCTGCAGCAGGACCAGCAGCAGCAGCACCACCAGCACCACCAGCATCACCAGCAGCACCAGCACCACCAGCAGCACCACCAGCAGCAGCACCACCAGCACCAGCACCACCAGCAGCAGCACCACCATCACCAGCAGCAGCACCACCAGTACTACCAGCACCAGCACCACCACCTGTAACAGCACCAGTAGCACCACAAGCACCTCCCACAGCACCAGTACCACAAGCACCAGCAGAACCACCTTCCCCAGCACCACCAGCACAAGGATCAGCAGCAGAGCCACCAGCAGGAGCACCAGTACTTCCAACAGCATCAACATCAGCATTACGAGCTGCAGTAGACCCAGCATCTCCACTAGGCGAAGCAGCACCACCACAAACAACAGCACCTGCAGCAACATCAGTAGCACCAGCTCCAGCACCAGCACACCAGCAGCAGCACCACTAGGAGGAGCACCAGCACCACCACTCCCACCAGCACCGTCAGAACCACACACAACAGCAGAACCAGCACCACCAGCACCACCACTACCAGCACCACCAACAACAACACGGGCACCAGCAACAGCACCACTACACCAGCACCAGCAGCACCACAAGCACCAGTACCAGTAGCACAGGTACCACCAGCACCAAAAGCACAGGCACCACCAGCACCAGAAGCACAGGCACCACCAGCACCAGAAGCAGCAGAGCCACCAGCACCAGAAGCACAGGCACCACCAGCACCAGAAGCAGCAGAGCCACCAGCACCAGAAGCACAGGCACCACCAGCACCAGAAGCACAGGCACCACCAGCACCAGAAGCACAGGCACCACCAGCACCAGAAGCACAGGTACCACCAGCACCAGAAGCACAGGTACCACCAGCACCAGAAGCACAGGTACCACCAGCACCAGAAGCACAGGCACCACCAGCACCAGAAGCAGCAGAGGCACCAGCACCAGAAGCACAGCCACCACCAGCACCAGAAGCACAGGCACCACCAGCACCAGAAGCAGCAGAGCCACGAGCACCAGAAGCACAGGCATCACCAGCACCAGAAGCACAGGCACCACCAGCACCAGAAGCATAGGCACCACCAGCACCAGAAGCACAGGCACCACCAGCACCAGAAGCACAGGCACGACCAGCACCAGAAGCACAGGCACCACCAGCACCAGAAGCACAGGTACCACCAGTACCAGAAGCACAGGCACCACCAGCACCAGAAGCACAGGCATCACCAGCACCAGAAGCACAGGCACCACCAGCACCAGAAGCACAGGCACCACCAACACCAGAAGCACAGGCACCACCAGCACCAGAAGCACAGGCACCACCAGCACCAGAAGCACAGGCACCACCAGCACCAGAAGCACAGGCACCACCAGCACCAGAAGCACAGGCATCACCAGCACCAGAAGCACAGGTACCACCAGCACCAGAAGCACAGGCACCACCAGCACCAGAAGCAGCAGAGCCACCAGCACCAGAAGCACAGGTACTACCAGCACCAGAAGCACAGGTACCACCAGCACCAGAAGCAGCAGAGCCACCAGCACCAGAAGCACCACCAACACGACCAATACCAGGACAAACAGCACCAGCTCAATGAGCAGCAGCAGCACCACCACCAGCACCAACACCAGCACCACAATCAGAACCACCAGCACCATCAGAACCACAAGCAGCAAGAACCAACAGCACCAGAAACACCACCACTAGGAGAAGCACCAGCACCAGCATCACCACCAGCACCAGCAGCTGCACCACAAGCACCACCAGCAGCTGCACCAGCAGCAGCAGCATCAGTAGTACCAGCACCACCGGCACCACCAGCAGCAGCACCAACACCACCACCACCAGCATCACCAGCATTAGAAGCATCTCCACCAGCACCAGCACCACCAAAAGCAGCAGCAGCAACAGCAACAGCATCAGTTGAGCAAACAATCTGTAGCTACTTTACAGGCACCTTTATGACCCTTCATCACCTGCATTGAGGAGTTGATAAGAGGTAGAACCTGAGGGGAAGGAGAGGGAGGGGAGAAAGGATGTACTAATATTTTAAACAAAAAAAAATCCTTATAAAAGTCACTGGCATGTAAGTTCATGAAGAGAGGGTTCTTTTTCATTGGAAGTAACTCTTTATTTGTTTATTCATTTATTTGCTTACTTATGCAACTACAAAACTAGTATAGCATTGTCATCATTAGGGTCTCTATTGCTGTGAAGAGTCACCATGACCAGGGCAACTCTTATAAGGAAAACATTTTATTGTGGTGACTAGCTTACAGTTCAGAGGTTTAGTCTATTATTCGTCGTGGCAGGAAGCAAGACAGCTTGACCATAGACATGGTGCTGAAGAAGAAACTGAGGGCTCTTCTGTCTTGATCTTCAAGGCAACAGGAAGTGATGTCTCACTGGGTGTGACTTGAGAATATATGTGACCTCAAAGACTGTCTCCACAGTGACACACCTACTCCAACAAGGCCATACCTCCTAATAGCGCCACAGCCTTTGGGGGGGGGGGGGCATTTTCTTTCCAAACACCACAAAGTTTACTTTAGGAAATCTGAAAATAAACCAGGCACAGTGGCACATGGCAGTAACTTTAGCGATTGGGAGGTAGAGGCAGCAAGGTCATCCTCAACTCCACAGAGTTTTCTGGCCAGCCTGCCTATATGGGACCCTGTCAAGAAAGGAACAGGGAGGAAGGGGAAGAGAAAGGAATGGGGGAAGGAGGAGAAGGAAGAGAAGGAAGTGTAAAAGGGGAAGAGAGGGAAGGAGAAAAGAGAAATGAAATAAAGCCAAGACAATAGAACCACCATGCTCCTAGTGCCCACACAGCATCCTCAAGCAATTTACTATACATGCTTCCAAATCTTTTTTCAAGTACTTTTTTTTGGCAAAATGAGGTTTTGCAGTTACTTCTCAATTAATGACTTTTGCCATTTCTTATCAGTTTCTACTTTGTTTAATACACACTCATATTAAACTATGCCTAGTTTTCCCCCCAAACATTCAAACTAGTAAGCTTGTTGAAGCCCAGATCCAATCTCAGGCTGCATCTTCCAACTTACAGCATCTTATATTTGGGCTCCTCTTTTTGAAAATTAATTTAGTCTTAGGAAAATGTTTCCTTACAATGTATTTTGATCATATTCCTTCCCCTCCTCCAGCTCCTCCCAGATCCTTCCTACCCCCTTATCCATCCAACTTCAAGTTTATTTTCTCCCTCCCCTTCCACCTTCTCTGTTCCTTCTCTCTCTAAAAATTGGAAAACCAAAACGAAAATCAATCAGTAAGACAGAAAAAAAATAATAAAGCACACACGAAAATCATGGACAGACAGACAGACTCCTCTTCTTTCTGAGAGCAGGAATTTTGTTTCTTATTTGTGAGTTACTATTATCACAATGCCTTTAAGATGCCATAGCACATAATAGACGTGAAATAAATATTTTGATAGCTAATTAGTTAAAAACTTAGGGGAGATCTGGAGAAGTGGCTCAGTGGTTAAGACGCTGGCTGGACCTGCAGAAGACCCAGGTTCAAATGCAAACACACACATGGCAGCTCAAGATCATCTGTAACTCCAGCTCCAGGAGATCCTCTGACATCCAAGGGTACCTGCGCCCACATGCACATATGCCTGATTTTAAAATATACTGGCCAGGTTTGGGGGTACATTCCTTTAATCCCAGCACTTGGGAAACAGAATTGAGTGGGTCTCCGTGAGTTCAAAGCCAGCTTACAAAGTGACTTCCAGGACAGCCAGGGCCACAAAGAAAGACCCTGTCTAAAAGTAAGTAAGTAAATAAATAGAAAAAAAAGCCCCTAGAATTTATTGCGTTGACCTATCATCTCAGCTCCATTTTATAAGTCATAAACACTAAAACTTGGCAATGCTCTCCATTGCTCCTTTCATTCTATTAAACAAAAGTCAGTAAATCTTTCTGTGAAGGCCAGAATAGTTTAGCACTTTGAGGCCAAAAGGCAGAAACACTGGCATAATGCAGGATTCAGACACTGGGAAAGTCACCCAACACCTTGGCACCTCCGATTCCTTGTTACAAATAGCCCTCCAGTCTATTTTCCTGTTGCACATATTCTATTACTCTCTTTTCCCTTATCTTTCCTCCCTTGAGATTATCTCCTCTTATTTCATGGTCCTTTTCTACTTTCCTTACACACATGCACACACACACACAAATCCATGCACACATGTGCGCACACACATGCCTTTTTTCTTCATGCACCTGTTGGTGGGCATCTAGGCTGCTGTGGGAATGCAATTACTATAAAGGTCACTGGAGATGTTCGAGAGAATAAAATGTAAAACTACCAGAAGAGATTTTTTTTTTCAAATGAACAAAAAAGACTAATGCCATAGAACTAATGAACTTAATATGGATGATTATACCACATCTAACATCCTGGAGGCTGGGTCAGGAAGATCACAAGTTTAGGGCTAGCCTGGGCTACATAACAAAACCCTGTCTCCAAAGAGGGAGTTATATTTGAATAGTTTTGATTAAAATACATTTTTAAAATCACAGGCAGATTAAGACTCTTTCTAGAAAAGGCTTACTTAATACTACTTAATACTATGGCCTCCCCAAGCTGGACTGTGTGTCTGCTTCCCACAACATCCCTTCTCTGTTCAATGAGAGTACTTACCAAGCAGAGTCCTTGTTTCTGTCCCCCTGGTGCGGCCATGGTACTCCTTGCAACCAGGGACAATTTCAGCTCCTAATGTGTATAATGTTGGAAATGGCATTCATGAAAATGGCGTGCAACAAGACAAACCAAACGACCAAAAATGACTATGTCTAGACAAATAAATATCCCACTGAAAACGTGTTGGAAGGATGAGGAGAAATTGGAATGCATGTCCATTTACTCATGAGAACAGAAAACACCGTGGCCACATAAGCAAACACTCTGGAAGTGCTCAGACGAGCTAACCATATAGCTCCTGTATATATATATATATCACCTACATCAATGTTCACACATTCCACAATAACCAAAAAGTGACGAAATTCAAATGTCTTTCAATTGATGAATGGAAAAAACCAAATTCAGTATTTTTCATATAATGGAATCTTAATATGCCAGATAAAGGAATAGATAATTGGTGATACTACAATATGAATGAACCTTGAAAATCATGCTATGGATCCTACTGGGAAAGGGAAGTAGACAAGATGACTTAAGTAAATTGAGAGTGCTGTGGAGAGGGGGAGGGAGAAAGGGAGGGGTGAAGAGAACATGAAGGAATAACTGGGATGGACAAGTTGGGGGAAGAACTGAAAGGGGAGAACAAGGAAAGAGATATCTTGATAGAGGGAGCCATTATGGGGTTAGAGAGAAACCTGGTACTAGGGAAATTCCCAGGAATCCACAAGGATGATCCCAGCTAAGACTCTAAGCAGTAGTGGAGAGGATTCCTGAACTGGCCTTCCCATGTAATCAGATTGAGGACTACCTTAATTATCATCATAGAACCTTCATCCAGTAACTGATGGAAGCAGATCCAGAGGTCCACAGATAAGCACTGGGCCGAGCTTCCAGAGTTTAGTCAAAGAGAGGGAAGGGTGATAATATGAGCAAAGGGGTCAAGACC